ATTTAAAACGGGAGTTCAGCCGAAACTGGTTTGGCCCAGTGGATAGAGCATCGGCCTGCGGACTCAAGAGTCCCAGGTTTGATTCTAGTCAAGGGCATGTACATTGGTTGCAGGCACATCCCCTGTGTGGGGTGTGCAGGAGGCAGCTGGTCGATGTTTCTCTCATTGATGTTTCTAACTCTCTATCCCTCTCCTTTCCTCTCGGTAAAAAAATCAATACCATATATTTTTTAAAAATTGGAGTTCAGTGGCATTGAGTACATTCACAGTGTTGCACGGCTGCCACCATGATCTGGTTCCACGACCTTTTTACGACCCCCCCAAAAAACCCCGCACCCATTGGCAGACACTCCCCAGCCCCGGCACCCACCAGTTTCTGTCCCTATGGATTTGCCTCTTCCGAACATTTCATACAAATGGGACCAGCTAGTATGTGTCCTTTTGTGTCTGGCTCCTGCAGTTCAGCATAATGTTTTCAAGATTCATCCATGCTGCAGCCTGTATCAGTACTTCATTCCGTTTTATGGCTGAGTAATATTTGTGTACAATAGACCACATTTTGCTTATCCATTCATCCATTAATGGACATTTGGGTTATTGGTATTAAATATTTTGCCAATTACATGCTAATCACGTCCACATGTTTATACTACTAGTAGGAGGACCCAAGAGGACTGGCATTGGCGGGATTTTATTTATTGTCATTTTCTCTATGATATCTTTATTTTTTAATATATTTTTATTAATTTCAGAGAGGAAGGGAGAGGGAGAGAGAGATGGAAACATCAATGAAGAGAGAGAATCATAGATTGGCTGCTGCCTGCATGCACCCCCCTTGGGGATGGAGCCCGAAATCCGGTCATGTATCCTAACCAGGAATCAAACCATGACCTTCTGGTTCATAGGTCGACAGTCAACCACTGAGCCATGCCGGTTGGGCTATGATATCTTTATTTTATCCTCATTCTCAAAAATATATTATCTGGGTCCACAATGGATATTTTCTCTCGATATTATGCCTTCCAATATTATAATGTTTTCTTTTTTATTATAGTTGTCATGCAATGTTATATTAGTTTCAGGTACAATATGATTCAACCTTTATGTTCCTTACCATGTGATCACAATAAGTCTAGTAACATCTGTCACCAGGCAAAGTTGTTATAGTAATACTAGTGGCCCAGTGCACAAAATTCATGCACTCAGGGGGGCGGTCCCCCAGCCTGGCCTGTGCCCTGTCACACTGCGGGAGCCCTGCGAACCATTGCCCCAAAGAGGTAGGTCTCCGCAAGCCGCACGTCTCCTGGTCCAGTGCCAGGAGCGGGACGTCAGCCTCACGAAAGTCCCTATGCTGCAAGTCACCGCCCACCCACTTCTGCCGGGCATGCAGCCTCCTGCTGTTTGGTTGTTACGAGTGAGGGCGTCATAGCCATTTGCATATGAGCTCTTTATTATATAGATTGCCTCTTTTCTCTGTGCTATACATTACCTCCTGTGACTGTTTTCCCCCGTGATTTTTTATTTTATTTTATAACTGGAGATTTGACCCTTATTCCCCTTCACTTTTATCCCTTGTCCCCTTCACCTGTCCTCTGGCAACCTGTTAAGTTTTCACAGAGAAGGCATCATGACTAAAGAGGTGTTGGGACAGGCCCAGGGTCACAGGGCAGGGAGTTGGCAGAGGCAGGACTGGAGACCATGCCTTTCGGACCCCAGGCTCAAGCGGCAGGCACCAGGCATTCTCCCGTGGCTGCTGGGGCCTTGCCTTACCCTGCGGGGACGGCGCCTCATGTCAAACCTGGGGGCCCACGGGAACATCAAGGATTGTGTTTAAAAAATTATGCTGGGGTCCTCCCCTCAGACCCTTGAGGTCAGGATCTCTAGAACAACGGTTTTCAACCGGGGACGATTTGGGCTGCCTTCTCCCCAAGACACCCAGCCCTGCTCAGGGGCCATTCCGGTTGTCCACGGGAAGGGGTGCTGCTGGCACCTAGTGGGTGGAGGCCAGGGATGCTGCTGGGCCCCCACCCACAGCGTGATGCAGCCCATGTCCGTGCCCAGGTGGAGAACCGGCTCAGGAATCAGGCCCGGCGTGTCCGCGTTGCTAAAGCTCCCCAGCTGACCCTCAGGTGCAGCAGAGCCCAGCGGTGCTTCTCGAACTCGATGGAACCCGAGCACCACCTGGGGGCCTGGCTAAGCTGCAGATTTGGGTTTAGTAGGCCTGAGGTGGGGCCCGAGGTTCAGCATTTCTAACAGGCACCCTGGGGTGCTGGCACTCCGGGCCACACGTGGAGATGCTAGCCTGCAGTACCGCTAAAAGCTACATTTTCCTGAAAAAATGGTGGTTTCCCTTCCGGTAAGGAGAAGGGATGGGAAGGGCCAATTTGGCCAAGAGGGAATCGGTTGGTTGCTCAAAACGGAGACGCTGAGGGGAGCGGCAGAGAGCCTGCTTTGGGAAACGGACCTGTCGTGTTCACAGCAATACACTGTGATTCACAGAGCAGCTGGCCCGCCAGCCGCCCGCCCCGCTCAGCCCTCATGGTCACGGCCAGTCCCCGGCCCGGCTGGCTGGGAGCCCCTGGTCAGCTTGTCCAGTAGCAGTGACTCAGGCTTTCCACCTGCAGAACGGGGCAGATGGCTCTTCCCACCTCCCCACCCGTCCCTGGGGCCGCGGCTCCCAGCTGGGCCGCCACCCTCTCCCCCTTCCCCCCCATGCATCAAAGGCTGAACTTAAAAGCTGGGACCATTTTTCCAGGCGATGTGGCTGCTGGTTCTTTCACTGCCAATAAACCTCCATGTGTAGCCGCTCAATTAGGAAGTCGTACAAGACGCGTATATTGAAAGAAGGGATTAATAACCCGGCCCATGTGGGAGACATTAGCTTCTGTGGACGGGCCTTTTGGATACACTAGTTCACTCCGAGCTGGCAGCCCCCGGAGCAGCGCTGGCCGGCCGGGCCCTAGGAGCAGAGAGCCTGGGCCGAGCGGGATGGGGAGACAGACCGTCAGGGGAGCACGGTGTGTCCTCGGGCTGCACTTGGAGAGAGAAGTGTCTGGGAGCATCTGTCTGGTCCACACCAGATTTCTTAAGTGTTGCCAAGTGCGTGGTTGCTCCCGGAGGAGCCGGCTCTAGGGTAGCTCTGGGCAGAGGGAGGGGACGCTCGCCACCTGGAGGCTCAGGCCGGCCAGGAGGGGAGGGTTCGGTTTGGGCCTCTGGCCTCACACGGCTGCTGCCCCGGCTCCCGGATGGGGAGGTCCGTGGGCCCCTGGCACGGAAAGGACTGGCCCTCCGCCCAGTTCCCGGGCTCCGGGAGGCAGGCCAGGAGCTCCGGCTGACTCACCGAGGAGAGGACCGGCCTCCTGGACCCACGCACGCTGCCAAGGCGAGGCCTAAGCAGGCGGCCCCTGGTGCTGCTGGGACCCGGCTCTCACCGGCCCTGGGAAGGGGGCTGGGGAGGGTCTCCATCCTCACTGCAGCAGAGACAGAGGCAGAGCCTGGCTGGCGTGGCCAAGGGAGGGTTGGCGCTGGGCTCGGCAGCTCTGGGGGTTCCCACTGAGCTCTGCCACGTAGCCTTGGCCACGTGGCGACCTGACTCCTCTTAGCTTTAATTTTCCCCCAGTCAAGTGTGCATGATTTTAATACTTCCTTCCTCAGAAGGCTGCTGTGAGCATTCAAGTATATCATTGCAGTAAAGTGCTCAGTGCGGGCCTGCCCATTTTTCCTCCTCCGTTATTGTACACATGGACGCTTAGATGTGAGAAAGGCACAATGTATTGATATATTTATTCCTATTCATCTGTCCACCTGTCCATCTGTCCTTCCATCCATCCAGCCACCCACCCGTCTACCTGTCCCTCCCTCTCCCCCTCCCAAGCACCACCTACTAAGTCCTAGCACTGTCTCCAGCCTCGGGCTTACATCACACACAAAGGCTTACAGTCTGGGGGGGTTGGGGGCGGGGCAGAGAAAAACCTGCACCAATAAAGCCACAGGTCGTGTCTCTGTAAGTGGAAAGTTCTTTGGAGAAAAACAAAGCAGGGTAAAAGCAGGACAAAGGCACGAGAGGGAGAGACAGACAGATGAGTTGGACAGAGGACCTGCTATAACTGCGAGGGAGGAGGGTGGCGGGGCGGGGTGAAGAGGCCTCGCCGAGGTGGTGAGATCTGAATGGGAACCTGCAGGAAGTGAGGAGGGAACCCTGTCAGTCATCAGGGCAGAACCTGCCAGAGAGAGGGGCACTCCAAAGTGCAGATGCCCCAAGACATGAGTGTGCTGAGTGCCTCTGAGAGACAGAACCTTCCAGAGTAAGGCTGGGGCAGCACGAGCAAGGGGGAGTCAGTTGTAGGGAGTGAGGTCAGGGAGATGGAGGGGCAGATCAGGGATGCCTTCCAGAGGATGTCTGGGATTGCTAATGAATTTTGCAGCGAATAGAATATCTAAACCCTCAGAAACCAGGTCCTAACGTGTCACATGTGTCCTCTGAAGGTCAAGTGCAGAAAAAAAAGCACATTCCAGCAAAGGAAGTCTCAAGGAACAGTTGATTTGCCTATCGTATATAATGAAGAGTTAACACGCTAATTAGACTGGATAGCAGAACCACTGTCCAGATGACCTTCCCAACGAAGCCAGGGCTGCGAGGGGCTGCGAGGGCCAGCCGAGGCAGCTGGGGCTGCAAGGGTAGAGCCCTTTGCATGAATTTCATGCATCGGGCCTCTAGTCCTTTCATAAAAATACAGTAATCAAATTCTCATTTGCCTTTCCCGACCCTTGATCCAGGAAAAGAAAATGTGTTGTTAGGAGAAAATTCATCCAAATGACTTGGACACATTTACGAGAACATGACGTGTGCTGTCAGGTTTACTTACAGGGGTGGTGATGGCTCCACATTTAGACATGACGACAGGTGAAAAGGTGGGCAGAGCGTGTCCCAGCTCATGGCCGCGAAATCAGAAAGCCTTGCTCGAGTGTCCTCACAGTGGCTTCTTGTCTTCTGTCCGCAGCCCAGCGGTCCGCCCACGAGCTGCCCATGGTGGAGAGACAAGACATCGACAGCTGCCTGGTGTACGGGGGCCAGCAGATGATCCTCACGGGCCAGAACTTCACGGCCGAGTCCAAGGTTGTGTTCACGGAGAAGACCACAGGTAGGGCCCTCTCAGCTCGTGCGTGTCCCCTGGCCATGTGGAAGCCACCACCTTCTGGTTCTAAGCAGCATTAACTGGGGGTGGATATCATCCTATCGATGCGCATATTCTGCCCCTTTTCCTCGCCCTGATGTTTCCCAGGTCTAGTGAATTTGATGGTGACACGGTTCAGCATTGTGTGAATGTGCCATAACGTGTGTAGGCTGATCCTGGGTGATTTCATTAAACAAGAAGGCTGTCCTCTGCCAATCCCAACACTTTAAAAAAAAAAAAATTGTTTTTTGTTTTTGTTTTTTTTCCTCATAGGAAGATATACTTTTTCAACTTCTTACCATTATCCAGAAGGGAGGCCAGACAGCACTGTGATCCGTGTGCCTGTTCTGGGCCTGGGTATCCTCGGTTCCCATCTGGCTCCGCTACTTGCTTGCTGTGTGATCTTAGGCACGTTACCTAACCTCTCTGTGCCTCCGCTTCCTTATGTATGAAATGATAGTAACAGAGGGTTGTCACAGGGTTAAATGAGTTACTACACGTCGAGTAATTATAACAGCACCAGGTATATCGTAAGCCGATCAACATTGGCTACTTAGGTTTAATTATAAATCGAGTTGCGATTAGTCCTCTTATACTTTTAAGATTAATCTTTTTGACACAAATATCCATGTGCTTCTTGTTTATTTAGGGTGTATTCCCAGCAGTGGAATTCAGGAGAGTCCTTTCGAGGATGTTAAATGCAGATTGCTAAGTTACCTTCCAGAAATGTACACATTGAAACTCCCACCAGTACCACCTCAGACGAGTTTCCCCCCTCCCAGCAGTGTCATTTAAGAAAGTTAAAACAATGCACTGAATTGGTACTTCTTCTTATTTTGCATTCCTCCGCTCTGAGAAGTTTAATGTTTCTGTTTACTGGCCGTGTTGAAGTCTTTCTTGCGTGCATGGCCTGGTAATGAGTTTTGTCCCTGAGGCCGAGGCAAAGAGAAAAGGATTGGAAGCAGGAAAAGCATCAGTTTATGCGGTTATTGGGCAGTTGTGGGTGACAGACCTCGTTCTTTTCTTGTGATGGACATGATTTCCGTAGGTTAATTAAAAGGGGTGTCGGTGTCTGTTTCTTGGTGTATGGCCTTTCGGATGATGCAGAGACTACAGCAGGCAGGCTGTTGTGGACTTGGGCACCGCCCAGCACCTCCTCTGGGGACTGCCCTTCAGCCTGGATGCATCATGGATCTGTGTGTGTCATGAAGACACTGCTGGCAGGAAAGGCCGAGTGTCTGGGGGAGGCGAACTGCTTCCCTCTTCACACAAAGCTTCCTCTTGGGATGGGCCCTGGGGATGGGCCCTGGGGATGGGCGGGTTTGGGAGTGGACTAGAAGGCTCGCGGTGGGTCAGTGGTGGGGCAGTGAGGGGTTAGGAATGCAGGCATTGAAATGGATGCATTGCTTTCTATTATGTGTTGTTCAACACTGTACTTATTCCCATTTTATCGGGCATTAGGCTGCTTCCAACTCCGCGCTGTTATAGGTAGCTCGGTGATGAGCATCTTCTCCGTTCAATTTGTCACTTAGATGGGAACTCGCTCTATAGCCAGCCTGCTGGTGTTCAAAACCCTGCCCCGCTACTTTCTAGCTGTGTGACCTTGGGCAAGTTAGGCATCCTCTCTGGGCAACAGTTCCCTCCTCTGTATGAGGAGGATGGCAGTCCTACCTCATCGGCTGGTCTAGAGATGAGGAGTTTATCATGTTTGTGCCTATAAAATGCTTGGTAGATAGGAAGTGCATGATACGTTAGCTAGCGCTATTAGTTTTGCTTCTCTCCTATATGTGGGACAGTGGGTTTAAGAGGGCGTGCACTTTTTAAAGTGTCCTGGGGAGGCTTGTCTCTCAGGTGCTGGGAAAATGTAACACGTTTTCTGTAGCAAGACTTTGTAAGGCTCTGGTGAGTCAGAGGGCAAGCCAGTTTGCCAAAGTAGAGACCGTTTAACCTGGGAAACTGCTTTGATCAGCAGGCAGAGGCCAGAACTCAGAGGTCTTCCAGCGCCAGGTACAGGCATAAGCTTGCTCTGGTCTGCACCTGGGCAAGGTAATAGGGAGCCATGCTGGGCTCTTGAGCAGGAGAGACTATGAGATCAGCCTCTTCGGATTTGATGCACCTCCTGTCACAGGTGCCATGCTGCTGGCCTTCTGCTGGCTTTCCCAAGAAGTGCATGGCTTCACAATGCCTTATGATGGAGGGAAAATGCTAATAACATGCAGATGTCTTGTCATCGGCGTCCTGGTTGGCAGTTCCCGAGGGGGGCCGGTGGAACCAGGTAGGGATGACTCGGATGCCAGGTCCTGTGAGTTCCCACGGGGTTAGGGGCCAGCCAGTGTTGAGTTGTCCAGGAGCTCGTGTTCTCATGCAGCTACCCAAGGAGACCAGTAGTGTTTGATGAGTGAGGGAGTGAATGTTATTTACTCTCCGGCTTTCCTTCTCCTGGCCTTGGAGGAAATCTCACAGTTTGCCTCCTAACTGGAGGAAAACTCAGAGCCCGCTGCATGTTCTGAGAAGAGTAATAGTGACAGCTCCCTGTGACTGAGCCCATCTGTGGGCAGGCCCTTCGCCTGCCACTCTCCCCCCCATGCTGTCCCCTCTAACCCAGCACCTGTGTGTGTGTGTGGGGGGGGGGGGGGGGGGGGCAGACGGCAGAGAAGTCAGGGGGCTCACCTGAGATCGTACCCAATGTTGTCCAGTTTTTCTACCTTCCTGGGCCTCAACTTCTGTCTCTGTAAAATGGGGTAGTAACAGTCCCTTCCTCCTAGAGTTAATTGCAGAAATGAACAGGTTGTGCCCAGTGCACAGGGAGCGCTCATTGAATGACTGCTAATACATTATGGTCTGTCCAGTGTTATCATAGCTCAGTCCATACACAGGGTTTATTCGACACACACTGCCCTCGGCGTTGGCCTTAGCTGGGCAGCTGTGGGGGGCTGTGTGCTGTAGGGGTTACTGGCACAGACTCTGAGGTCAGACGGCCTAGGTTCAAATCCATGATCTAAATTTAGTAGCTTTGGCATCCCGGGTAAGTCGCTTCACCTCTCTGAGCCAGTATTTCCTCTTTTGTAAAATAGAGAGGATTTACTTCTCTTGAGAGATGAGGAGATTAAATGAGATCATAGAGCTTGGCACGTTGTAGATGCTTATTAAATGTTAGCTTCTATTATTATCATTATATTTAGTTGCTGGAAGGACAGAAGGTAAGATTTTTAGCTCATGGGACTGAGAGACATTGAAAAACCATAATAAGTAATAATCAACTATGTACCAGGCCTTGTCCTAAGCAATATATATATTAACTAATCCGATTCCTCATGATAGTCCTACACAGTAGCCACTGCTCTCCCAATTTTACTAATGAGAAGCTGAGCACAGAGGGGTTAAGTCACTTAGTGACGATACACAGCTGTTGAATGGCAGTGTTGGGTGTGACCCTAGCCAGCCTGGCTCCAGAGTCTGTACCCTTAACGTTAGCTGTTCTGCTCTGAAAAAGCTTAGAGCTGGGTTAATTTGGCTGAAGACCTTCTAGCTGCTCTGAGCTGCTGACTTGGGCCATTTTGTGGTGAAATCAAGCTCTGACTTCTGCAGTGGGTCTCGGGCTGAGAGGATGCAGTTCGAACCCTTTCATGAAAGTCTAACGAAAGAATCCCGGGTGAATGTGCTTCCTGGATGGATGCCAGCAGACCCCGGGAGTGTCTGAGACCCCCCCTTCGCGCCTCCTCTGGGAGTGGTGGGCCTCCTGGCGGGATGCCTGGCTCTGGGTGGCTGGGACAGACAGGGGGCTTGTTGTGTGTTTGCAGGGACCTGCTTCTGTTCTTTTGACCCCAAGAACTCGCTTCCCAGCCTTGGGCTGCTTTCTGCAGGGGAATCCCTGTTGCTCAACTTCTTTTTTCCAAAACGCATCCCCGTTCCCATCTCCATGGACCAGCTTGGCTGGGAAGGCGCTGTGGGGCGGGGTGGAGTGGAACAGCTGAAGTTTTCCAAGGAAGGGGAACCCCAGCTGGCCCTCACATTAAGGGAAGGTGGCAGCCTCCTGGGCTAATCTTAGCCCCCACGCTGGGTCACCGCGATCTTTTTATAGCCGTGGGCCGAGGTGGAATCGGTGGTTTCCACGCCAGCACGATGACAAATTGGCGAACGGTGGGAAGGCAGAGGAGAGGGGCGGCCTGGTGTTCCTTAAGTTAGAAGCCTGGTGTTTTGGAAAAAGGCCTCTTATTTATAGCAGCGTGATTACTCTGATGATTAATATTTTATTACTAATTTTAATTATTTTCAGGGCTTCTCAGAGCCTGGCCCTCACTCATCACCTCCGATTTCAGCTTTTTCGACCTCCTCCACTGCTCTGCTTACTTGGCGGCCGCTGCACCGGCTTCCTTCTGTCCTCAAACAGCCCATGCTCGTTTCTGTCTCAGAACCTTTGCTTTTGCAAGCTCTTCTTAGAAGGTCCTGCCATCATTTCTTTATGAAGCTCGCCCTCCTCTTCCTTCATGCCCCCACCCCTCTTTGCCTATCTGCTCTGAAGCCAGTCACCCTCCCCTTTCTTTCCCCCTATCAGCTCCTGTCCCACTGTCCTGCTCTGTTTTCTCGGGGGCACTTAGCACTACTGAAATGATCTTTTTTTTAATTTTTAATATATTTTATTGATTTTTTTACAGAGAGGAAAAGAGAGGGATAGAGAGTTAGAAACAGCAATGAGAGAGAAGCATCGATCAGCTGCCTCTTGCACACCTCCTACTGGGGATGTGCCCGCAACCAAGGTACATGCCCTTGACTGGAATAGAACCTGGGACCCTTCAGTTCACAGGCTGACGCTCTATCCACTGAGCCACACAGGTTTCAGCCTGAAATGATCTTGTCTGTTCGTTCACTCATTTGTCATCTCCCTCGCTAGACTCTTAGTTCCTCGCGGGCAGGGACTTGGTGTTTGCTCTTGTGTCTGCAGCATCTGGAACAATCCCTGGCACACA